GTTTCTATTTGAAGTTATTTTTCTACAAGTGTGTTCTTCTGCCCTGGATATTAAAGTTCAAGGTCCACTTAAGATGAGTTATGCTTCCACTTTACTTAAAAGGCCCAGGAAGTATTTTCCTATTAATGCAGTATTTTTCATAACTTTCATAGGTTAAAATTGGATTTTGTATATATTTTCTTCTGTAAATGTTATAGAAAGGCTAGAAACATAAAACCCAAATGGCTTGTGGTCCAGTAGCCTTTCTGGTAGGGGCACAGACAAGCAGACACATGCCCTTTAAAGTCTAATACTGGTTTTTAAGTAAGTATTATAGCAGACAAAAATTGATTTGAGTTGGAGGCCATGAATATCAGTGTTAACTTCGTTGAGATAAAAATGTACTAAAAAGGACATGGGTTTCCAGTCCTTTATTGGGCTGGATCCTCTTCTCAGTTTCAGTTCTGAGTGTAAATGAATAAATCTTCCTGAACCTGTGGATTGTATCCCCTGTACCTACCCCCATGCAAGCTCTCCTGTTGTTTTGGTGTCGTACGTTTTGGACTGTCAGTGCCAAACTAGAAACTTGCCCTGTATCTTCAGCAGGTGCAACGAGTTGTCTTGTGACCTTCTGGTGGGTAACAGTATTGGAGAGGTTGGTACCTGGTGCTTTCTAAATTCTCTTTATCCCTATTATCACAGTCACATATGAAACTTGTTACTATAGCATCTTTCTTGTTCTCTGGCTTTGAAGCACTATCAAAAGTAAGTTATCATGGCACCCATGTAAAAAGCATGTGTGGGCTTTCTCAGAGGTGTAGGACGACTCAGCTCTCAGAAATACCACTGTTTCCATCAAAGCATGCCCTTCATTGTGTATGTATAAAAATACTTGCAACACAGAGCAGGCATGCCCTGTTATTTTTTGTCTTTAGCTGCAGTTGATAGTTAATTATGGATGTGTCCTTTTTCTATCCCTTGATTGCAATTATTCTACTTGCCGAGTGCTTATAATATTAAGTGGCCTGTGTAAATTACCAGGGAAGGTGTGGGTTGGTGGTGTGTTTCCCACCCCCACCCCCCTCACTCCCCCTCCCAGGGACACACTTTGCTATCACAGATCTATGAATCCAAATTATGGAGACTATGCTATTTGCAGTCTTCATGGTGAGGCTAAGTGGGCATAGAACATAAACAGCACTCCCTTTTCTAGAGATAGATTTTCCAAAATAGACCTGTGACAGCAGGAGATAATAAATAGTGCGTTAAGAGAACATTTACCTGTGGGACTGAAAATTGTTTGGCTTCCTGCCCGGCATTCCCTCTTCTGTGGTCTCTTATCGCTAAGAATGTCAGCAGAGTTTCTTTTCTGTTAAGAACCTCGGAAAGAAGGATTTTTCTTTTTTCTTTTTTCCTTTTTTTTTCAATTTGTAGAGCCACCTACGGTAAATAAATTCTAAAAAGAAATGTCTAGCTTTCTAGGCACTTATTTGTATCCCTTCTGGTATTCAGCTTGGTGCCTTCAGTCCTGCCTTGTTTCTTTGGGCAATCTGATACTCTGAAATGTGCCGTGCAGCTCAGCAGAAAAAGGAATTTGCTTTGTCTAAGTCATTTAATATCTTTTTAATCCCAGTGGATTACAAATTTGCAGGGTACTATGTGCTGGCTGTATCTTGATCTCCAGGACTTAAACGTGCTTTGAATTGTTTCTTAATAACTGTGAATAGAACTGTTAGCTAAAGCCAAAGCAGTGAGAACAAGTGGCATGCAATAGGAATAGAACAGCAGTTAAATAACATGTGGATTGTGGAAACTGTTAAAATTTGCAAGTGATGCTTTGCCGTAGCCTTAATACAGTCCCTTATGGATTGCATCACTGAAAAGCAGTGAAGGCTTCCTTAAGTAGTGTCCCTATAATAATGTTTAGTCCCAGGAAAATAAGCAAGCCAACAAGCTATGAAGCCACATGCCATGAGTCTGCTGTAATGCACTGCAGTGACACTTCCCATGAGGCACAAGACAACTGTCAAGAAGGGGTGGCACCATTTCATGACCTGGTGCACTAGTAAAACAGAAAGCTCGGAGAAACTGTAGTTTAGGTAAAAGATCTAAATCTTTTATTCTAGATAGAGAAGATAATCCAGTATATGCTTTTAATTTTTCGGCCAATATTCACTATCTTCTGTGCCTCAATTTGTTTGTCTTTCAGCAAATGCAGTGCCATAAAAATACTCTTTCAAGAGAAACTAAACTATTTGAAAAATTTGGCATCTTTGTATAAAATTTGTTCTGTATATATCAGTGCAGCATCCAGTAAGTTTAATCAGCTGTTGTAGAGGTGAAGTAGAGGAGCACAGTGAGACTAGAGGTGGACAAGATTCTGAATTGATCATATGCTTGTATATGCATATCTGACCTAAGAAGTGCCAGGTTCCATTTCTTCCGTAGAAACTAAGTGAGAAGTAGCCTTCTTCACAGTAGGAATCTGTATTTTAAGACTGCCTGGCTGGCTGGGTCAATGCCATTAAGCTCTCAATTAAACGAAAAATCGGGAGCACTCATTTACTTGAGTGGTACAAGGTCAGAACATTCACCATAAATGTGTAAGAGATGGAAATGGCTGAGGTTGTCCTCCAAACTTCTCTTTGAGTTTAGCATGGTATGCTTGGAACAGTTCTACAAACTGCAGTGATGTCTGCAGATAAGCACATGCCCATCACTTAAGCTTAATTCCTGAAAGGCTCAATCATTTCCTGGGTCAGCTTTCTAATGCTTATTGCCAAATTGCCATGAAAGGTTCACGTGCTTTCACCTTGAGTGCTTTCAGCTTTGATGTTATATTACCATAATATTGTTCCATCCAGGGATGCTTGTTACAGTTTTTAGTAGTTGCAAACGACTTAATGTGCTGTTAAGCCTTTTTAGATGCTAATCACTGGAACAAGATACTGCTTGAGGCAGACAATTTAGTCTTATAAACTAGATTCTAACTCTGTAATGATCCAAACCAAATACCATCCTAAGACTCCATCATGTCGAGCCCTGAGGGCAGAGGTGCCTAGTGTCTCTGTTGTGATGCTAAACACACTCTGGTTTCCAGTCTCCCATGAGTTCATTAAAGCTGGTTACCTTAAATGAGGAATGTTTTACTTTCCTGAATGCCTGTTTTTCAAGCTAACAGCCGTTTATTAAAATGTATTTGCAGAGATGCTTCGGCTGCAGCCATGCTTATCTCCATCTGCCCATAGAAGGACTTTCTTATGCTGCTACCTGCAACTCCTCCTCTGGAGGTCTGCAGAACCTCTGCTCAGATCCACTTCCAATACTGTCTTCTCTCTCCTTTCTCTGGGTATCTAGAATTAGGGATTTCCCTGCACAGCTCCCCCGTATTAATAGTGCTTCTTACTTTTCAATCGATTCAATTAGAAAGGAGAAGACGATAAAACTGAAGTTCAGCAAGCTGCTCCTTGTCACTGTGGGAGCCCTGAGAAAAGAGCACACTGCACATAAATTCTTCACATAAATTGAGTCAATCCCAACAACAATCAAAATGTTATTCTTTAATAGAAAGTTGCATTTTTAAGAACAGAACATTTTTGAAAATTTGTTCCATATCTTGGTAAAGTATGAAACCTGCCTAGAATTTACAAGACTCAGTTCCAGGGAAAGGTTTTGCCATCATCCACTGGCCTGCCTTATTGTGTTTCTAAGAGATCAGAGAAAGTCAAGAAAAGAAAAGGCCAAAGGAAATTTCATATTGACAGCAGGGATTTAGGATGTATTTTATTTTTTCAACTGTTTACATTAAATGTTTTTAAAATGCTGGTAATTTTAAATAGCAAAAGAAGTGGAATTCCAAATATTTGGCGGTTTTAAGTAGCAGAAGTCTAACTTACCAAAATGTATGGCCTTGTTATATATACCTAGTGTTAAATGCATAGTAAAGGCAAATTTGCTTTATAGATCTAAAAAGACACTGAAAAGCAAGGAAGACTTGTCTGAAGGCTGAGAAGTAATGGATATTTGAAAAACGACTAACTTTAAGAACTCAGTTTTATGTAGCCCTTGTCTTTATTTCATTTATACCAAAGGTAATGTGTATATGACCTCTCTACATTCATGCAGTTAGTTCTGCTTGTCATCTCTGCAAGTAAAAGCAGACTTGATTGGTCTCCATGGGGAGAGAAATGCTCATGGTTGCTGTTGTGACCATTTGCGCCCTGCAGACTTCAGTATTTGCATCTGTGTTTCATGAAGTCGTGCTAGTTTTCTGAAAATTCTATGACACATTTTAAAAATAAAACACTTCATAAGGCAGACAGTGCAGAGTCCGAATGTGAAATTTCTGCACTTGAATTATTGTAAACTTTCAAATCCATTCTAATTGTCTATGTCTTTAAAAGGCATTCTGTTTTTCACTGTAGTTACAAATAGGAGCTGATGCAATTTAGCTGGTATCCTTGCTGTGTAGTCTCCCTTCAGTTCCTACAGGGTGTTCTCACAACTTTCTGCCTGTGAGAAATGCATGTTACTTGTCCCCGACATGGATAATCTGTTTATCGTGGCATGAACTTCAGGTAGAAGTTTTTGCTTCTCTGCTTGTTATTGTCTACATTTTACTGTCACACAGCTTCCCTTATACCATATCAAACTTTATTTTCAGGAAGAATGTGTAATGGATAAGTCCCAACATAAAATTATGTGTTCATAAAATGTTAACCGTTGTAATAACGATTAAACAAATTTTGCCTTTATGTGTATATCTTTTGGGGGGGTGTATTTATGAGCATAATCTAGCACAATATTGTTTCTAAAAAAGCAATTCTTTGCAACCACGAACATCTGGGATAAGAATTTTGGACTCAGTGACATGTAGAAAATGAATAGGAGTTGGACATCCAAATTTCTAGGGCAGTAGTGAAAATCTCAGATACAGTGTTTACTCAGTTGGCTTAGCAGTTGTTTTGAAAAATGCCTTGTTGCTAAGGGTTTTTTTTGTTTCATTTTAACTTCTGTTACAGACGTTTACAGCCTGGTGCAATTCCCACCTCAGGAAGGCAGGCACGCAGATTGAGAACATTGAGGAGGACTTCAGAAACGGCCTCAAACTGATGCTCCTCTTGGAAGTTATCTCAGGTTGGCTAAAATAAAGTTGGCGATGTTTTTACAGCATCCTAACTGAAACATGCTTAAAAGCACAAAAATTGTTAACAATCCAAAACAGCGAACACAAAATCTTAAGTAGGGTTAAAAGTGAAAGATGAAACACACTGTAAAACAGAAGGGAGGGGGGGAAAAATCTCTGCTTTTTCCTTATCTCCAAAATCTGGTGGTTTGTGCTTGTGTTCCAGGATATCACAGTGTTGTTGGACAAACCACAAAAATTGAGGACATGTTTTTGGTCTTTAACAATTAAAAAGCCTTTACACTTAGGTTACAAATTCATTTTGTTCCACTTATACTAGGAAAGTTTTGCTTTGCTTTTAATGACTTTATTGGATGGACTAATGCTTTCAAAAGTGAGTGCCTAAAATAAAACTAGAATAGTATTTAGTCACAAGTAAAAGGTCTCATTTTTCAGAAGGGTGCAACATCCAAGACCAACTGATGTGAACTACCATTCTATGTGTTATTCAGAGGGGCAGTCCCTAAAGTAGGCTCAGAACGCCCCTGAATGAGAATAGCTAGTTACAGACACACAATAAAGGTGAAAAAGGGCAAGAAGATATTAAAGACATATTTATAAAAACGACAGTTTACATTTTTGCTGGAGATTACAGCGGGGAAGGAAGATCTTCAGATGATCACTGTTCATGAAATGGAGAGCCATATTTTCAGAAATCATTCTTTGTGATCACTTGAAAAGATTCATTCAAACACATCAGCCTATGCTCTGAAATCAGCTGCTCTGCTGTACTGGATGAGGTTAAAAGCCATTGCTCTTGGTCAGATGTGGAAGGATGCTATGGCTAATCTGCTGGATAGAGCCTGGCCCTTCTTTACAGTCAGGCAGGTAGGGTTAATGAGGTCTGAGAACAGCCTGCCTTCTTAATAACCAGCTACTCTAGCACAGACAGTAGCAATGAACCATAAGTCGAGTAGCAGGAAGCACTTGCATATCTTCCAGATGTTTAGGGCAAACATAAAAAATTTACTCTGGTTTTGCTGCTATATCAGAAAGATCTCAGTCAGGTGTTTCAACATTTCTCTTCAGGGTTTTGATCAAAGCCATTTGACATTCTTTCAGAAATACAGCTGTTAAAATAACTGCTAACTTTTAGACAGTGTTCAGGGCACATACAGTCTTGAGTTCTGATCACTTGGGTGGTGTCTGTAGCCAGGTGTATGTCACAATAAACACATTAAATTTGTTATTCTGCAGGGGAAAGACTACCGAAACCAGACAGAGGGAAGATGCGCTTCCATAAAATTGCTAATGTCAACAAAGCTCTGGATTATATTGCCAGCAAAGGAGTGAAACTTGTGTCAATCGGTGCAGAAGGTACGTGACAGAGCTTGACAATGCACCTTACTCAGGTCCTAGGCATTCACACTACAAAGTCTGACAGACACCACTGGCCAAACTGCGCGGGTTGTTCTCTATATACGAGTGCCTCAAAAAACCCTTAATATTGATGGCTGACCTGTGTCTCTGAAAGGATGAGAGGGGGAAATTTGTGGATGCCTGGAGAGGGATAGTGGTATAAATGACCTCTAAGATTAGTTTATCTCCAAGGTTACGCTGAGTTGTCTGTCTTTCAGTGGGTGTTCAGCTAATGATTTCTTTCAGAGTGTTATTTTTTTCCTTTACATTGTTGAAAATATTCTCCTTTAGAAATTAGGTTGGATTCTAGGGTGTGCTTTCTCCGATCTTGGATCTTTTTTTTTTATCTTTAGGGTATATTACCCAGGCAGGATGAAGAATGACATCACTACCAGGTGGCTGGGACCTACTGTGCCTGGCAGCTGTGTTTCTAAAATTCAGATGTAGTGTTAAGAGAGGGAACAAAAGAAATTATGGTAGCTGGGGAGAGACACAACATAAGAACATCTTTGTCGGTGACATGGAT